AGTGTGTTTGTGTTTTAGGAGAGCAGAGTTTCTCTTCAGGCAGATTTTACTTTGAGGTTCAGGTTAAAGGAAAGACTAAATGGACTTTAGGAGTGTCCACAGAGTCGATCAGCAGGAAGGGAAAAATCCGACTGAGACCTCAGAACGGTCTCTGGACTGTTTGTCTGAGAAATGGAAATGAGTACAAAGCTTGTGCCGCCCCTCCGGTCCGTCTCTGTCTCCGGTCTGGTCCTCAGAAGGTGGGGGTGTTTGTGGACTATGAGGAGGGTCTGGTCTCCTTCTATGACGTAGATGCTGCAGCTCTGATCTACTCGTTCACTGGCTGCTCCTTCACTCAGAAACTCCACCCGTACTTGAATCCATGTAATAATGATGATGGTAAGAACGCTGCACCTCTGCTGATCACTGCTGTCGATCTCATTATGTGTGAAGACCGTCAGGATTAAGAACATTCACTGATAACACTCGATGAGTTTGGTGTTCGTGTCACACAGTGGAAAATTGTTTTTATATTTTGTTTTGGATCAGGCTGTTTATTGGTACATAGTGTTGATTTTATTTGCATGGTTTTATCCTCATATTTATATTGTGTATTTTAGTGTTGTTGCACAATATTCTTTTAACCCACTGTGGACTAAGCAGACCTGTAGGCACCTGTGAGGCGGGGCGTTCCCCGAGCCGGCCTATCAGCCGCCAAACTGACCTGCTAAAGGGGATAGTGAGAGAGCGACGCACGAAAGGTGAGCAGGAGAAAAAAGAAACATGTTCAAGCCAACATGTGTGTCGAAGGACCTGCTGCCTGACTGTGGGGTGCCACGAGTCGTTCGGCAACGGACCGGCCAGCGGAACACGGCGATCCAGTCCCAACGGCAGGAACAGCGACAGTGGGTGGCGATGCCCGCAATCCACAGCAGGGCAGGGGTGTCCCTGTGCCTGCATCTGGCGGTGCTACGAGGGAGGCCGTGTTCAGGTGTGGAGTGGGGCGGGACTGTGCGGTGACGCGCTGTCAGGAGAAGACAGGTCTGCAACAGGAGCCTCCTCCTTGTTCTTCTGGCCGGTGTGGTTTCCATCCCGGAAGAGAAGTTCCTCTCCTGTTTCAGATAAGGACCATTTGCCCGTGTGTGGCTGGACTGTGGGATTATGGCACTGTGGGGGGGATTTTAGCATATGGGAAACATTTGTGTAGCTTTTGTTTTGATAGTATATAGTTATTTCGGCCGGCAGGGTTTTTAGCGTGTTGGAAACTCTTTATTGTATAGGGGGATTTTAAACTGTATTTGTGATTCTGGTTGTGTCTGCGTTCCCATGGAAATAAAGGGTGTGTTTAAGGCCCTGAGCGCCGACCCACTCACTCCCCTTCTTCTTGTATGTGAACGGACTTTGAGGTGAAGATTTATATCCAGCACTTTTAGCGGCTACATTCATATCATTGATCTCACACGTACAGTACATCGTTTAAAAATGGAAATAATCTGTAAAATTCTGTAAAAATAAAACAAAACAAACAAATAATCTGACAGAAAAATATCGTACAGCAGTGGAACTTTAACAGTTTGTAATTTTGGTAATTAAAATATGGAGAAGTTTTGTTTTTTTTAAATGGTACAGAAAATATATTTGTAGCTTTAAATTTACATGAAATCTTTCAAATAAAAAGTATTTACATGTGTAAAGACGACACATTTACCCTCAGTGTGGAGCCTATCCCAGCTGTCATAGGGCGAGAGGCGGGGTACACCCTGGACAGGTCGCCAGTCTGTCGCAGGGCCAACACACAGGGACAGACACACAATTCGCACATTCACACCTATGGGCAATTTGGATTAACCAATTAACCTATCCCCACTAAGTGCATGTCTTTGGACGGTGGGAGGAAGCCGGAGTACCCGGAGAGAACCCACGCAAACACGGGGAGAACATGCAAACTCCTCACAGAAAGACCCCGGCCTGATGTTGGAATTGAACTCAGGACCTTCTTGCTGTGCGGCAACAGTGCTAACCACCGTGCCACCGTGCTGCCACCGTGGGAAATGTGTTTAAATAAAAACTTGTATATTTTATAGTCTGTTTAAAACATTAATCGATCTACTTTTTTAAAAACATCTGAAGAGACAGATGAGAGACCCCACCCGCACCTACGGTCACGAGCTGTGGGATCAGTCACTGCCCACAGCTCGTGACCGTAGGTGAGGGTAGGGACGTAGATAGACCTCCAAATCGAGAGCTTCGCTTTTACACTCAGCTCTCTTCACCACGACGGACCGGTGCAGCGTCCGCATCGCTGCAGCAGCAGCACCAGTCCGTCTGTCGATCTCCCGCCCCCCTCTCCCATCACTCGTGAACAAGACCGAGATATTTAAACTCCTCCACTTGGACCAGGAACTCGTCCCCACCCGGAGTGGGCACTCCACCCTTTCCCAGCTGACGGCATCCTTAAAATGTTTATGGTGCAAACTCAGCTTTTGGAATATCCAAGAAGAAAGCATGTGTACTAAACCAACCACTGAGTGCAAGAAGAGCTAAAAGCTCACTGACATCACCTCAGTCGTAGCTTTGCTAGCAAGCACACGGTCCTGTCATCATGAGAGGAAGACTCAGTTTAATATGTAGCTGGTGACGCGACGTGGCTGCTCAGCGTCAGTGTCTGCAGACAGAGTGATCTAATGGTACAAAGCTTGGGTTTGGTTTACACACCCTGCAGATGCAATGTGTGGTGCTGTTTCTCCAGAGTTTTGCTTGTTGTTGGTTATTTAAAGTCTCCACCTTCTCTGGATTTGGAGTTTCCTCCTCTTCCTCAGCCCTAGCTACATGTGCAAGTACTGTGACTGTAACTTTACTGACGTCTGCAGCACGAACACATTATGGAGAAAGAGAGGGAACAAGGATGTGTGCAGGCCGTAAATGGTATAAAAGCTGCTTCAAGCTTTAAATAAATTCCACTAAAGATCCAAACCTGCTGTGGGACGGACACAGATACGCTGTGAAGGAGCCGTAACTCAAACGGCTGCTCGGCCTCCACAGAGGAAGAAGGCGAGGACGCGAGTTTTTCTCTTTAATATGGATTTACTGAGATCGTTTACATCAGTGGATACAGGAAACACACAGCGACGTACAGACACACCACAGGCTACAGTGTACCAGTTAAAAAGGAGACGAGCTCCTTAGAGCCAATCACAGATGTCACGCCTCTCCTTTCAAAGTTCGTCTTCAGTGCATCAGTTAAAGTCAAACTTCTCCAACCATAAACCAGCAGTGGACGGAGGAGGTGTCGGTCAGAGTCCCAGTTATGAGCAAGAGAGGACGTGGAGCCAGTTTATCACCAGCTCCCAGTAACAGAGATCCAAACACACACACACACACACGCACACACAGACAGACACGCACACTGACAGACACACACACACACACACACACCTCGTCTAACGTGGGAATGTACAGAGTTACAGATGATTAAAGTTTAGACCGACAGCATCAGCTCCTCACACAGCAAAATCTAAATAAAGTTTAATAAAATCAAATAAAGCACAAAAAAGTCTAAAATCAAAAATAAACACTGACCAGTTTGTTCTTCAGTCCCTTTAAACCTTTGAAATAAACGTGTCGTTAAGAAGGCGACGAGAAAGTGAACAATCAGTGTGTGTGTGTGTGTGTGTGTGTGTCATTGTGTATGTGTGTGTGTCTATGTGTGTGTGTGTGTCAGTCTGCATGTGTGTGTGTGTCAGTGTGTGTGTGTGTGTGTCTGTGTGTGTGTGTGTGAGTGTGTCTGTCTGCTGTGTGTGTCTGTTGGTCTGTGTGTCAGTGTGTGTCTGTCTGCATGTGTGTGTCTGTCTGCATGTGTGTGTCTGTCAGTGTGTCTGTCAGTGTGTCTGTCTGTCTGCATGTGTGTGTCTGTCTGTGTGTGTGTCTCTGTGTGTGTGTGTCTGCATGTGTGTGTCTGTCAGTGTGTCTGTCAGTGTGTCTGTCAGTGTGTCTGTCTGCATGTTTGTGTGTGTGTGTGTGTCTGTCAGTGTGTGTCTGTCAGTGTGTGTGTCACTGTGTGTGTGTCTGTCAGTGTGTATGTCTGTGTGTGTCTGTGTGTGTGTCTGTCAGTGTGTCTGTCTGCATGTGTGTGTGTGTGTTGGAGCATTTCAGTCAGAGTGTGTTTGTGGGGTTTCTGTGTTATTGTGACAGTTTAAACTACGTTTGTCTCTAATAAAAAATCTCCCCGGTGTTCCCAAAGTAACTGTAGTAGAAGCCCCGCCCACCAGGGGCTTAAAGGGGGCGGGTCGTTTTGAACTGAATCAAAGCTGCTCTAGCAGCACTTCAGTGTTCAGACTGAGCAGACGGCTGATCCAGGATCAGACTGAAGCCCTCTGAGGAAACGGCCGCCTGTCGTCCACACAAATACGACCCCACAGGCGTGATTGCTGTGACGAGCTAACGAGCTAACGAGGGCCACGCTGAACACGTACAGCAGGTCAGCTTCATGATCTACAGTGAAACCTTTATGCCTGTTATGCTGCGCTGCAGGACGAGGAAGACTGGGTGGAAACAAGTTTTCAGACTCTTCAGTGGAGAGAAGAAGAGACAATAACTCGTGTTTGTTCTGATCGCTTTAAACTCGTGTGCGTCTGACTTCCTGTCACTGTGCAATCGTGCGTTTCAGTACAAATGTCAGTAACCTAAAAACATTTAAATTGAAGCAGCCTGTCTGTTCTGTGAGCCAAAAACGTTAAACCGTGTTTTCACCTCCGTCTCAAACGCCGCCGAGGTTTCTCCCTTTAACCTGGAAACGTCACCTCGCCGTCCTGTGAATAAATATTAATAAAAGCCAGCGGAGTGCCTTTGATCCGGTCCGTGTCACTCCAAGTCCGGGTCCTTGCCGACATCACCGCCGCTGGATGAGCGGCTGCTGAGGTCGGCCACGCCCGACTCCAGGTCGCTGCAGGTGGAGAGGTCATCGGGGTCGTGACTCTTCAGCTGGGCATGTGGCCCTAAGGGCAGGGAGAGTGCGGGCTCCTTGGTGTGAGTCTTCTGATTGGCTGGTGCAGAGGAAATTGTGTGACTGCTGTCCTGTGCGAGGCTGGCAATTGGCTCTCTGTATAAGGTGGGCGGGTCCGGCCCGCTGTGCCTCTGCGGCAGGCAGCTAGTCCTCCTCCGGGGAACCTCGATCTTCTCCCAGGTGATCGGCTTCCCCGTCAGCTCTGCGATCCTCTGCACAGAGACAAGAAGCTTACAATCAGCTGAGAGGACTCGTAACTGGAAAAACTTTATTAACACTCAGAGAGTTACAGGTTAGAACGAGGCTGCAGCCCAGCTGCAGTTCCCCTCACGTCCACTAGAGGCTCCAGCAGTGACTCAGTCCCATAGACTCCTATGTTAAAACTTTACAGAAGAAACAAAGGTGTTTTTAACATGACGTAGCTGCTAGCTGTCTGACTTCACCTCAGCTAACCCTGAACTTGACCTCCGCACCGTGTTTGTGCTGTTGCAGCTTTTTAATGACATCACCTGACCAATAATGTGTCGGCTGTGAGGTTACTGGACTAACAGGCTGTCCGATGAGATGTTACTGAGCGCTAACATCAGGTGTGTGTGACACAGTCTATGGTGGCCAAATACAGTAACCTTTACGCAACCCAGCAGGGCGGCTAATGCTAACATGCTAATGTCCAATTCTGAGATATAGAGCCAGTTTCCTTCTTTTATTTACAGTCTTTGCTACCAACATAAGACATTTAAAAAAATTAATCTAGAAACTTCTGCAGATTTTTTAAAATTGGTTTAATAGCTGCTGAATTATTTTTAATTTTTGGGGTAAAAAGTTTTAAAAAGTAGACGGTCGCAGTTTAAGCAGCAAAGCTGAAGTGAACGATCTGTGCTGGTGTCATAACAGGCGTGTCGTGTGTTGTATGCCTTGTCTGGAGCCCGGGTGGTGGTGGTGGGCGGTTCCTCCTGGCGGTACCTCCTGGTGATTAGTCAGCTCCTCTTCCAGCTGCTGGGACTCCTCCCTCACGGCAGACATGAAGTCGGCAGGTGACTGGCGGGGAGGCGTCGATTTCTCAGCGTGGTTATAGAGACCCTTCCACATCCTGGAGGAGAATAAATGTGAAATATAAAAGCAGAGAAACTCTCCACCTGTTTCAGGGACTCAGGCAAACAAAACAAATGCACAAAACCAGCAGCTCAGTGCAGCTTCCTTTAACCCTTTAAAGCCGGAAGTGACGTCATTTTCGCGGAAAATGTAGTTTGTTTGTACCTTCGGGGCCTTATGAGCCTATACTGGTGTTTTTGAAAGTCATGGACTTTACTTTTCTGAATAGTTTCTGGGATGCTTAGAACTCGAATTGCACTGCTGGAAATAGTTTATTTTGATGCATATGCTGTTTTCTTTGCAAATTTGCATCATAATATTTTTTCGTTTTTCCTGCAGTGTATAAAAATTGTGTATCTCAAAAATAAAACTATGAAGACACTCAAAATAAATTTCCTGTTGTTGTAAACTATTTTTGCAACTTTTTTGTATTTAAGTTTTGAGGAAACCTCTTAAATTTCTCTAACTAGAAATATATGTTAAAAAACAAAACAACAAACTTTCAATTTTTTTGTAGTTTATCTAGTTATTATTGACTTAATGCACAATATTTGGACTATAACGGTTATATTGATGTATAGCAATTATAAGAACAAGTAAGAAAGAATATTACCACAAATTATTGGAGCAAAGTAGAAGTAACACACAAGAAACATGGAGGATATTAAACAGTATAATCAAAAAGGGCTCAAAAAATAAGAATTATCCAGATTATTTTAAAAAAGATAAAGATATTGTGCTTGATAAAACTAAAGACATTGCAAATGAATTTAATGATTTCTTTGTAAATGTTGGCTTTAATTTAGCAAAAGAAATTCCAGAGTCAAGAAATAATAAACAGAGATGTCAGTTTACCAATTACAGGCCAATATCACTACTCCCACAGTTCTCAAAAATTTTAGAAAAGTTATTTGTTAATAGACTTGATAAATATATTGAGAAGCATAATCTCCTAAGTGATAACCAATATGGCTTTAGAGTGAAAAGGTCCACTTCGATGGCAGTGATGGAACTTGTTGAAGGGATATCTAATGCTATAATAATAAGGAATATACTGTTGGTGTTTTTATAGACTTAAAAAAGGCGTTTGATACAATTGATCTATATTAATGAATAAACTAGAGAGATATGGCATAAGAGGGTTAGCATACAAGTGGATGACAAGTTACCTGGATGACAGAAATCAATAATGTAAAATCTAAGCAGTTGAAGGTAACTTGTGGTGTTCCTCAGGGCTCTGTGCTGGGCCCTAAATTATTTATATTATATATAAATGACATATGTAGTGTTTCCAAACTGTTAAAATGTGTATTGTTTGCTGATGACACCACTCTGTACTGCTCAGGTAAAAACCCAGAACAGCTTCTGACTGCAGCGGAAAAGGAGTTAAATATATTAAAAAACTGGTTTGATGTAAATAAGTTATCATTAAATATAAAGAAAACAAAATGATTATTTTTGGCACTAGACAAATGAAAAATGTATCTAAAATCAGGGTGAATGGAATTGAAATTGAAAGAGTGCACGAGAATAAATATCTGGGAGTGATGATTGATGATCAGCTGGAAGTCTCATACAAACCACTGATTTTGTCTACAAAACAAACATGACCTGAACAAGAAATTTGATTCGCCTTGTCTCGTGCTGTCTTGCTTTGTGGTAATCTTTATTCTGTATTCACTGAGATATTTGAATGCTGATCAATAAATCAAAACAAGTGTCCCTACAGCATGTAAGAATATAAGGATAATTCTGGCAGACTTGGTTCTATGGTAGGTCTTAAAGGGTGAACCTGCTGCTGCTTAAATTAATAAACTTAACAGGAATCGTCATGTTTCCAGCTAAGCTATCAGGATCCACAGAATCACTGCTGGGAATCGCAGCCGGCTGGACTGGACCAGGACTACACTTCCTGTTTTGTGAGGGAGAACGCGGTTGTGTTGGCGTTTTTGCTGCAGTGACTCACTTGAAGCAGTAGGGGGAGGTGTTGGGTCTCAGCACGCCCTGACTCTGGCTCTGCTCGGCCTTGTACAGAGGGTTGGTGTACTCGCCTCGGTCCTTCCACAGCTGAGGCCACACCGAGTGAGTGCGCTCATGAAGCCTGCAGACACACATCGCACAGCCTTTACCTCCGTGACACAGATACGAATAAAACTGGATTATAAGCGGCGTGCTCGCCGTCGCCTGTGGACACGAGCTGTTGTAGCGATGAAAACATCTGTGGTCTGTGACGAGGAGTGGCAGGTGATGAACGACGGACGGTTCCTCATTAAAAACATTCAAGGTTTCTGCACTTCCTGTTTCTTACTTCCTTAAATAAAAACGAGCAGCGGGCAGATATCCACGCAGACGGGACTGCGACGACATCAGACCATGAACACATTCTGTCCAGTTTCAGAAACTCCT